TGGGGCTGCACTTCAGTGCAACGATTGAATCATTTACAGCTCCTTCAGGTAACTCGGCTACAAATCTAGCGTAGTCTTGAGCGCGCCGCCAAGCCTGCCTGGTGGGGAGAGACCAGGCCGATGGAGGAGCGGGGACTTTCTCTTGCTCTATAAGTGGGATAATGAAGCCAGGGCGTGATGTTCAAAAGGGACGCGGTGGTCCCCGTGCTGGAGCTCTCCTGCAGGGCCATGGCACATCAGAGGGCTTCGTCGTTAGGCGACGGAGGGTGGGCACAGCCTTACTCGGGTGCTGCTCACCTGCATCACCTGCCGGAGCAAAACCCAGCTTTGTAAAGTCCTGGCTAATGTGGCTGCTTTGGCCGAGAGGAACTGGGGAGAGATTCGATGGGAGCAGCCGAGGAGGACAAACGCCGGGGTGCTCTTACCCGTGTGCCTTCCCTCTCACAGGTATTTATGGTACAAAACCTATTTTATAGCTGAACGAGCTTAATTTGTTCCTGAGGGAAGCTGCCCATACCAGGGATGGATTTGTCTCCCAGCTGTCGCCCAGACCTTCCCCGGCTCGAGCAAGTAACCCTGGGAAAGCAATTGTGGAAATGCTTTTGGTCTGTCCTGTTCGTAACCAAAGCCAGCCTCTTTTCTTTCGCTAGACCAATGGCACCAACTAGGGGTTTTTTTTTTTTTTTTCCCCTCTCTCCACCCTATTTTTTCTATGAGGTTTCAAATTATCTGGGTTATTTTGTGTGTATGAGAAGACTTCATTTAAAACATCAATAAAACTTCTATCAAAGGGCTCAACTTCACACCGAGTACACAGAGCTCAGGACTGAATCCTGCAGTTCAAGGGCGCTGCAGGCAGTTTTACACATTTAAATGGATGGTGCCTTGTTTTAAAAAAACCATCTGAAGTTCATGGGGTTCATCTTAATTGATAAGCTGGACATAACGGATGGGTGTAGGGAGACTTCAACAACATAAGGGAAGAAAGATTTTTTTTTTTTCCCCCTCGCTCTTTTTTTAGTCTACCATCAAAGGTTGGGAACTTAGCACTACATCGTAGTATTATTTTTCTTCTGCTATTAAAATGAATCACACTGTGCCTAATTCTTCTTGGGAAGATGAATGTGTTTGAGGCAGCTTGAAGCCATTCAGTGCCTTACAAGCCTTTGCATCTTTCTATCAATGTTCCAAAATACTCACCTCTGTTTTTTGGATGTCTGTAGAAACAAAATATAAAATGGCTTCAAATACATGGCAGGCTGTTTAGCGGAGATGAAAGGGTATTTGAATAGTCTTTTAAAAATGAATGAAAAGTGAATACTCTCTTCTGTTTCAATTATAAGTGGGACATGGAGCTCGTTAGACACCACCTTAATATGTGACACTCTGAAAATGTTCACCTACCTTCAGCGTTTCAGAAACATTTTGTTTTTTAGCTTGTCTTGGGATAAAGATCGTGATTACAGGTCTGGATTCTCAGCTGCTAAATGGAGAGGCAGCGTGGGAAAGTTCTACTGTTACAGCTTAAGAAGTGTAACATCCAACCAATATTTTTTTAAAAGGTACAGAAGATGGGGAGGGAGCAAGAATCTTATTTTGACCCAAGTTTTTTTTTAGTGTCGCTTAAGTTTATCAGGTTTAATGAAAGCTATGTAAACTCATCGTGAAAAACTAGTGCCCACAGAGCCGCTTGCAGCATTACGGAACCTGCCAAAATGTCCCGGTTTGGGTCCTTCCAGAGGAGGGACCCAAAATGTCCCGGTTTGGGTCCTTGCAGAGGAGGGACATCAATAGCAAGAGCAGGCTCTGCAAAAGCAAACCCGAGCAGGGCTCAAGCGCTGCAGGAAGGACAGCGTGAGCGAGACCTAACCGCTCCACATGCTTAAATCACACTAATACTTAACACTTACTTAGAGCATTTTTCATCTTCAAAGCATGCTGGAAACATTCATTAAGCCCCACACTCACGGAGGTAGGCAAACCTGCCCACGTTAGACCATAGCACGGTGGATAATTGGCAGCGCGGACAGGGCAAGCGGCAACCGGGGGAGCTTCAAAGCCGCGTGTCTGCTCTGCAGGCTGGGTCACAGTCCAACAAAAACACCAGCCCTGGTTCTGCACAATTAAAACGCGTTGACGGACTTTTAACGGTCCTCGGGAGCGTTTGGGCCACGGAGCCTGGAGGGAGCAGCAGGCTGGGAATCATGGGCATGCATCACCTAGAGACTTTTTTGGGGGAAAAGCGCCACTTTCCCAAGTGTTTCACAGCTGGGATTTGTTGGGGGCGTGTGGCGATGAGCAATGGTCTTGCTCACTCCCAAATAAAGGCTGGAAGCGGTGGGGAGTGGGGCTGGGCTGTGCTGGGGAGGGGGCAGCCATGGGGTCAGTTCTCCTCTCTGAGACGAGTGGGGACAAGGACGCTGGAAACATGCGTTTTGATTCCCTCAGCGAAAAATAGGCTGCATTTAGATGCAAAAAGCATCCCAGCCCTTACTCGCAGGCCTCCCCCCTGGCGGGTAGGTCACAGCAGATACGAGTGACATATTTTGTTCTTCTCTCTCTAGCCTGAACGTTTGGCATTGCCTGGCTCAAAGGGTGCAAAATGTCTGAGTCAGCATCCAAAAAATGCACGAGGCTGTCCCCAAAAATCATGAGCTTAGAATAAAATAAAATAATATTATCAACCCCCTCAAGTAATGATACCCATCTCCAATTTTTCAATTCCCAGCATTTGGTGCGAGAGCAGGAGGCAATTACAGTGTCAGTGCTGGTGACCGAGGGCACTGATTCACACGCGCCGGCACGTCCTCGTGGGGCAGTTGGAAGAGGTTTGTGCCTTGGGAAGATGTGCCCCAGCCCCGCAGCGGGGCAGACGCACGTCCCTGATACATGAGCCTACATCCAACGGTGGTCTCAGTTGGTAAAACCAACTCAAACCTCCGAAATTCCTGGCAGCCCCCCTGGAAACGAGGGGTGGAGGAGGGATGCTGTCTGCCTCCTGCAGCACTGAGGACCGGCAGTGGATACAGGGGCCAGGCAGCAATAATTTGGGGATCCTTTCTCCAGGAAACCAGTGCACAGACTAAATGACCTGCCACCATCCCGCAGCCCCTCTGCACCATCAGAGGGGACGGGAGGCTCCCACCCTTCACAACACACCATTTATAGCATCCCAAGGCACATCAACTCTGTCCAGACCTTTCCAGTGCTCTTCTGCAAACCCATTTCTCAGACGGTAAAACAAAGACCCCAAAACAGTGACAAAATCCCCTCTCCCTTCATGAACATAGACTATATGTTATTTTTAATGGCGCCAGTACTGGAGAGGGGACTTTGCGTTGGTGAAGTCCCATGAAAACTCCCTCCTTTTCCCAGGTGCCGGGACTAGCAGCACTGCCGGTTCCCCCCAGCTTTTCCCAAGTCTCCCTGAGGTTGTTTTCTCCCCTTCACCTAGGGAGTTTATCCCCTCTAAACCCATGAGTCAGCCATGCACCAGCTGGGCTGGAGCATCTGCTGGTGCACACTCCGCTTGGCTCGTATTGGCAATTTCATTCCCTTCCTCTTTCACCTTCCATTAACCTCGTGTTCCTCAAACACCTTCATCCAACTACTCCACTCCAGTAGCAACCTCAGAATAATTAAAAAGGAAAAAAGAAAGGAACACTCGGTCTTTAAACAAGGTTCCTATCCCATTGCTTTCAAATGCTCTCTTTTAATCACAGGGCCCAGAAAACACCCACACAGAGGAGGCTGGAGAATTATTTAAGGCAAATCATCTTCCTTCCCTTTCTGAAAAAAGATCAGACTCGTTCTGGATGGTGAAAGCAGCTCTGGTCCAGGTCCTTTCCATTCTTCCCGGCAACATCCCTGATTCCTGCCTGCAACCTTGCCCAGCCTCCTGCAGCCTTGCCCAGCCTCCTCGCACAGCCCTGCACACATGCTCCTTTCCCCCTTGCCTTCATTAGCATATTACTAATCATAATGAAGAGTCCCGAGATGAATTTTTCTAACATTTAAACCATGGCATGCCATATGTTTTAGCCTCTCTTTTAAATTAAATGAGCGTTGTGATGCGTTTAATCTTCAGGGAGCATTGAACCCACATAGCGAGAGAGGAGGCTAATTTTGGACATCAGATCTAGGTGATAGCATAATTTCAGACAATTTTGGCTGACCTCCCTGGGCAATGCCCTTCATCTCTTTCATGAGAAGATCTATTTTTAGGGAAGAAAGCCCATTAAGTCTTGCCTTCCTTAATGCAGCGCTTCACTTGATAAGATTTGACAGGTAGATCTTTTTTTTTTTTTAATTATTTTTTAAAAAGAAAACAGAAAGACCCTCTGGGAATTCTGGCTTTCAACATTTGTCTTGGGCCCTGCAGGAGTCGGGAACATCTCTGAACCCTACAGTTCGTACTGCTTTGAAACAACTGCCTCGTCATTCCTAATGCACATCGCCAGCTCTGCCTCCTCATCTGCGGTTGCAGCACTCCCAGCTCCCGGCTCCCGCTCCCACCAGCTTGGCAGCTCTCCTCACCTTCCCCTTCTTCTCGCCTTCTGCTGTGGTGGCTCAAAGCGAGCTCTCATTCCCCCCAAATCCTTCAAAAGTCAAAGGATAAATGGGATGCATTGCCGGGATGCTCCTACCTCGGCTCTTCCCTTTTCCCCCGCTTGCAGAGTTGCTTCCCGGAGAAGTGCTACAGCCTCAGCATCTCCCCTGCGAGGGAGACCAGTGGAACCCTCAAGGTCTCATCCAGCCCTAAAATACGAACAGCGAGGAGTCCAGCAAAAGCTCTCCACCCCTTCAAAGTATTTGCAGGTGACTGCAGCAGCCTGGCAGAGCTTGGAGCAAAAGGTTTGTG